TTTTTATACATCAAAGTTATCTAAGAAACTCATGTTATGATTTTGGAGCTAGGGAACTAGGCATACGTTGTTGTATTTCAAAAATATTCAATTAGAGAAACTCCAAAGTTGTAGGAGAAGCTTAATTTTTTTTTTTAATAGTACATTAGTGAATTCTAGTATTGATTTTTGCTAATCTAAGCTTATGCCTTTTCCCATTTTTAGGGGTTAGGATGCTATGAAAGCTTCATATGTTTGCAAGGTTAGTGATTTGCATTTCTTCACTACTTTTATTTCAGCTGAAGTCAGAATCGCCACAATACTTATAGACCTTTAGTAGTAAAAGTTATGAATTTAGAATTTTCAAGCTATTATGAAAGCTTGTAGTTTTGATTTTTTTACTTTCTGGACTTATGTTCAAGGTGTTTTGCCCAGCAGGTCTATTTTGATATTTTTTATTTGTTGATTTGGTAATAAAAATACTTGACTTGCATGGTGATTTTCTTTTGTTTTTTCCCATGAGTGCAGCTTTGCTTCCATAGTTTCTCATAGTATTTGATGCTGGAAACATTATGCCGCTGATAGTTGGGAGAAATGCAAAGGTATAATGCTACCAGCTGCACTAGTGCAATAGGGGGGAGCTCAGCTAGGGATACTGCCCGAGCTGATTCATCTTCCTTACCACCTAACTACTCAGTAAATACTAGGTAATCATTTCAGAACCCAGCTATACTCTATTCTGCAGGGCCTTCCCTTAAAGATCTTCTTATTTTGTCTTAAAGATCTTCTTATTTTGTCTTAAAGATCTTCTCATTTTGTCTTAAAGATCTTCTTATTTTGTTTTAAAGTCACCTTCATGCCATATTTTAGGATATCCTTCCTCATGATGATTTTTTTAATTAGTGATCAAGGCTTGAAAATATCATCTGTGCAGTCACTTTAGAGAAACTCTACTGGGCAGAGTCCAGTTTTCAAGGACTTCACAAGGAGCTTGGTGTTGTCTTATGTTTGTTGATATTTTAAAACCATTTGAATTATTTTTAGAAATAAAATTATGGACTCCGGAGTCCAGACAATTAAATCAGATTGTTATTTTTTTTTTATTGTGAGATCTATTTATGATTAGCTTATTTAGGTTGGCATGTAAAACTCTCATCTTCATAAGACACATATGTTTCCTTCCCCTGTAACATAGGAAATAAATTTCCATTTTACAGGCGGCAGTCACAGCTAACAGCATACAAGTTGAAGTGCGATAAGGAATTGCTTAATTCCAGGTAATATCTGTGGTGAATAGACTGGCTTTTATATTCTTTTTGGTTCAAAAGTTGATGGCTTTGCCAAATATCTGCTCTTAAATTTTTCACTTCAACTTGTCAGAAGCTAACTAACATGATCGCTTCCCCGTCCCATTCTTAGACTTGGACCGCCTGATTTTCACCCTCAGAGTCAAAATTGTCCTGAAGAGACACTAACTAGAGAAAATGTGCAGCATGGATACAAGGATACTATTGATGGAATTGAGGTAATTAGTGACCAAGATTCATTGCTTCTCTTCTTTTCAGTGGTGATCCTATATGCTCTAATGTCTCAATTTAATAGTAATAATATGCTGTTTCTTGGACTCTATGCTGAAATACTACGTTGCAGGATCTTTCTTGACAATTAAACTTGTTTTCTCTGACATCCAAGACATTATGTGCCTTAACTTCTCTGCACACGAAACCGTTATCTGGAATAAAAGTGTTTTTTTTGTGACCTTCTTTGTTACGTTCATCAAGTGTCTTATCTAACATCTTCTCTTGCTCATTTTTCAGGATAATAAAGAGATCTCATGCACTCATGTTCAGACTTTTACCAAGCCTGTTGTTCTGAAGTGTCGAGATGTGAGTCATATTCCTGAAACGATACTTGTTATATATATATATATATATATATATATATATTTGAACAAGAGTAATTCTTTGCCTTCTTGTGCAGGCAATCAGAAAATGTCTTAGGGCCATTAATGAATCTCGTGCTCAAAAACGGAAGGTGATCTATTCATCTTTTTTGTATATTATAATCTGTCTGTTTTTCTAGTTGATTTTACTTTTTCTATGTATGTAATGGTTCCTTCTGTTTTCCTTTCAAAGTTCTGAATCCTCTGTGCAGAATTTGAACCTGTACATTTTTTTTTTCTTATCCTGACAGGCTGGTCAGGTTTATGGTTTGCCTCTTTCTGGTTCACTGTTAAGTAAATCAGGAGTTTTTCCTGAACAAAGGCCATTTGGTGAAGATTTCAAGAAGAAATGGATTGAGGTATTCCATATTTAACTGTGGTGGATAGCATAGACCTTATTTTACATTACTTTTGTAAATCAGGTCACCTAGTTGAGTTGAATTAAATTTCTTTAATCTACATGAGTTCCATAAACCTTGTAGAGAAGAGAGAGATGAGTACTTTGATATTCTGCATTGATTTGATGATTTGTGTGCAACAATATAGATGTGCTGTCACAATGAGGCTTTTCTTAAGCTCATAAGAGCAGCACACTGTGAGATTGTTTTTGTGAAATTTAACTGATTAAAAATTTGTAATGTGGAGGTTTTAATTGCTGACTATAATCTTAACTTTCCTTTTCTCAGGGTTTATCACAGCAACATAAACGTTTGCGTTCTTTAGCTGATCATGTTCCTCATGGTTATCGGAAGAAAACATTATTTGAAGTTCTTATTAGGAATAATGTTCCATTGCTCAGAGCAACTTGGTTTATCAAAGTAACTTACCTTAATCAGGTATGACTTGCTTGATTTTAGTTACACCCCTGTCACACTTTTCCTGGTTGTTACTTTGGATTGCCTATTCTAAATATTGGGAGGTATTTGATATTGGTTATGGTCTGCAGCGCCCTGGTTCTTCTGGAGCAGTTGATAAAAGTCAGTTGTCTCGCACTGAGCTCTGGACAAAGGATGTTATTGAGTATTTGCAGTTCCTTTTAGATGAATTTTTTACAAGAAATCATTCTCATTCTAATCCACAAAGTAGAGATAGACCACCACAAATGCTTTATGCTGGGTCATTACAGCCCAAGAATGATCCAACATCAGCGGTCTTTGACGGTGAGGAGCCCTCCTTGCATTTTAAGTGGTGGTATGTGGTGCGACTTTTGCAATGGCATTATGCAGAAGGATTGCTTCTTCCTTCTCCTATCATTGATTGGGTCCTTAGGCAACTACAGGTATTATGTTTGTTTTGCTTAAACCTTCACTTATGACAGAATAGCACATGTTTATGTTTTCTAATTGTCATACTTTTGCCATTTCAGGAAAAAGAATTGCTTGAGATTTTGCAGTTGCTATTGCCTATCATACATGGAGTTTTAGAAGCCATCACTTTGTCTCAGACATATGTACGTGCTCTTGTTGGGGTGGCTATTCGTTTCATTCGTGAACCTTCTCCTGGGGGATCAGATCTAGTTGACAATTCCCGAAGGGCATACACAATATCTGCACTCATTGAGATGCTTCGGTATTTGATACAGGCTGCACCTGACACCTTTGTTGCCATAGATTGTTTCCCTCTACCACCCTGTGTTATCTCCCATGCATCAAATGATGGAAGTTTTGTATCAAAGGCATCAGAGGATGTTGGAAAAACAAAAAACAATTTGGCAGAAGTTGCCTATGTTCTCAGAAGTAATGGGATTGATTCTCAGTACCAATCTTTGTCCCTTGATCATCTTGTGTCAACTATTCAGAAATGTGCAGATAATCTTGCAAAGGAAGCAAGCAGTGGATATCCTAGTCAGGGTGTAGCTAGAGCTGTGCAGGCCTTGGATAAATCTCTACTAAATGGAGATTTAAGAGGGGCATATAAATGTATCTTTGAAGATCTTTGTGATGGAGATGTTGATGAGGGTTGGGTTTCAGAAATCAGCCCATGCTTGAGATCCTCACTGAAGTGGATTGGTACAGTTAGCCCATCATTCATTTGCTCGGTATTTTTCCTTTGTGAGTGGGCCACTTGTGATTTCAGGGATTTCAGAACAGGTCCACCTTCTGACTTGAAGTTCACTGGCAAAAAAGATTTTTCGCAAGTATATGTTGCAATTCAGCTCTTGAAGTTAAAGATGAGGGAATTACAAAATCCATCTTCATGGAAGAATGAGAGGAGCCTAGCAGTCAAAAACCTTGCCAAGAATAATAATCGGCAGAATAACTATTCAGGCAGCACTTTTGTAGAGAATGATTATGAAGCCAAAAGCAAGACAAAAAGTATGGATGGAAGAACTAGTTCAGCCGATATATTTGAAAGCCCTGGTCCTCTGCATGATATTGTTGTATGTTGGATTGATCAGCATGAAGGGCAGAAAGAGAAAAGTAGTATGCGCCTTCAGCTTTTTGTTTTGGAGCTCATACATTCAGGTATCTTTTTTCCCCAGGCATATGTGAGGCAGCTGATTGTTAGTGGAATTATGGATACAACTGGGTCTCCAGCTGACCTGGATAGAAGGAAAAGACATTACCATATCCTGAAGCAGTTACCTGGGATGTTTATGCTCAATGCTTTGGAAGAAGCTAGAGTAGCTGAAGGGACAGAACTTTCTGAGGTTGTGCATGTTTATTCAAATGAGTGCCGTTTTGTCCTCCACCAACTTCGTCATGATCAATATAATTTGAGGGATGTTCTTGTACCAGCAAGCAAGCAAAAGCGTCATTCAAACACTGGAAAGGATTGTTCTTCGCAAACTTCAGGTGATCAGTGGAAAGCAGTTCAGCCATTGTCCAATGCATTGTCACCCATGAAGGTCAAAAGAGGTATGGACCTCGAAGAGCTTAAGGCTTCCATCTTAGTATTGTTGCAACTCCCTAGCACAGCTTCTACATCTGTAGATACAGGAGTGGATGAATCTCAGGGGTGTTCCAAGAGGCCCACTGGGTCAATCTACAAGAAGTTGGATCTGGTAGAAGGTACACCTGGGTGTGAAGATTGTAAAAGGGCAAAGAGACAAAAATTAAGTGAGGAAAAGGGCACTTCCCTTCAGGTACCTTCACCAATTCCATCTGATGAAGAAGATACCTGGTGGGTAAGGAAGGGCCCTAAATCCTTAGAGTCTTTCAAAGTTGATCCTCCACTGAAATCAACGAAACAGGTATCCCGGGGCAGGCAAAAGACTGTGCGTAAAACTCAAAGCCTTGCCCAAATAGCAGCTGGTAGGATTGAGGGTAGCCAGGGAGCCTCTACAAGCCATATATGTGATAATAAGACCAACTGTCCCCATCATAGAACCGAAGTAGACACTCCTAAGTCATTGAATGGGATCAGAACTGTCTGTGATGGAGATGTTGTATCAATTGGAAGGGCTATTAAGCAGTTACGTTTTGTGGAGAAGAGAAATCTTACAGTTTGGTTGATATCTGCAGTTAGGCAGCTTGTTGAAGAAACTGAGAAAACTGTGGCCAAGGTTGGCCAGTATGGTAGGCCTTTTGTTGCTGCTGATGAGAAGAGCCCTCTGCGGTGGAAGCTTGGTGAGGATGAGCTATCTATTATACTGTATCTTTTGGATGTTTCGAATGATTTAGCTTCAGCTGTCAAGTTTCTTCTTTGGCTGGTCCCAAAGGTCCTTAATAATTCTAGCCCTACCATGCACAGTGGGAGAAGTTTTCTTTTGATGCATAGGAATATGGAAAACCATACATGTGAAGTGGGCGAGTCATTCTTGCTATCATCACTCAGAAGGTGACAATTTCTTGCCTTTCTCTTTCTAATCGATTTCGAAAGATTTGATTCTGGGGTTTTTTTTTTTTTTTTGGGGGGGGGGGGGGTGGTGGTGGTGTTGCAGTTTCTTTTGAGAGCAAGTTGATTATGGTTCACATTACTATTAGTGGGACATTCGAATGGAGTTTTATGAGAAATTCCATTTATCTTTCTGACTTCTGTTTTCTGTACACTTTTATTAGTCATTGGCTCTGATAGATTGACTTGTGTAGTCATGGATTTTATTCTTAATGAATTTGGTCCAGGTATGAGAGCATTGTAATTTCAACAGATCTTATTCCTGAAGTCTTGTCAGCTATGATGAATCGTGCTGCAGCAGTTGTGGCTTCTACTGGAAGGATTTCTAGTTCGGCAACCATAATTTATGCTCGGCACTTGTTGAAGAGGTATGGCAGTATGGCTAGTGTCATAGCATGGGAAAAGAATGTCAAGGCAAAATATGATAAGAGACTGCTCTCTGAACTTGAAGCTGGACGGTCTCTGGATGGAGAGTTTGGATTTCCATCTGGGGTACTGGCTGGGGTCGAAGATCCTGATGATTATTTCCGTCAAAAGATAACTAGTGGAAGGATATCCCGAGTGGGTTTGAGCATGCGAGATGTGGTGCCAAGACATCTTGATGAAGCTTTCCAGTATTATTTTGGCAAAGAGAGAAAACTCTTAGCTACTGGTACAGCAAAAGGTCCTGCATCAGAGAAATGGGATGACGTTTATCAGATAGCTCAACCAATTATAATGGGGCTAATGGAATGTATGAGGCAGACTGGTGGTGCCGCTCAAGAAGGGGACCCATCTCTGGTTTCTTCTGCGGTTTCTGCAATTGTCAATAATGTTGGACCATGTATTGCGAAGATTTCAGATTTTGCTGCTGGTAGTAACTATGCCAATCATCAGTCCTCTGGGAGTTTGTTGAATTTTGCAAGGCGTATTTTGCGCATCCATTTAACCTGCTTGTGCCTACTTAAGGATGCTCTTGGAGAACGTCAAAGCCGAGTTTTTGAGATAGCCCTTGCAACAGAATCTTCTTCTGCTCTTGCTGCAGTGCTGGGCCCTGGAAAGTCTTCTAGGAATCAGTTTCAACCGTCTTCTGAAGCTCATGATTCCAGCACCACCATACCCAATGAAATTTTGAACAGTTCTGCCAAGGCTGCTGTTGGAAGAACAACAAAAGTTGCAGCTGCTGTTTCTGCACTTGTCATTGGGGCTGTTATTCATGGGGTTTCTAACTTGGAGAGGATGGTAAGTGTCTTAAGATTGAAGGAGGGGTTGGATATAGTTCAGTTTGTAAGAAGTACAAAAACCAATTCCAATGGTAATGCTCGCTCAGTTGGGACTTTTAAGGTGGAGACCTCTGTTGAAGTTTATGTGCACTGGTTTAGACTGCTGGTTGGAAACTGCAGGACTGTCTGTGATGGACTGGTAGCAGAACTTGTGGGTGAACCATCTGTTGTGGCTCTTTCAAGGATGCAGAGAATGCTTCCCATTAATTTGGTCTTTCCTCCAGCCTATGCAATATTTGCATTTGTTATTTGGAAGCCATTCATTTTGAGCAATAACTTTGCTGGCCGTGAGGACATTCATCAATTATATAAGTGTTTGACAATGGCTATTGGTGATGCCATAAAACACCTTCCTTTTCGAGATGTGTGTCTGAGGGACAGTAAAGGTTTCTATAATATTGTAGCTGCAGATTCTACTGATGCTGAGTTTGCAGCCTTGTTAGAGTTGAATGGTTTGGACATGCACTTGAAAACTTTAGCCTTTGTCCCTCTCCGTGCAAGGCTCTTCCTAAATGCATTGATTGATTGCAAGATGCCAAACCATTCATTTCAGGATGATGGCACTCGTGCTTCTGGACTTAGTGAACCTAAAGCTTCACATAAGGAGAGCAACCCAAAGCTTTTGGATAAGCTTGTTCATGTATTGGACACGCTGCAACCTGCAAAATTTCATTGGCAGTGGGTGGAGCTTAGGCTTCTCTTAAATGAACAAGCTCTCCTTGAAAAGACGGAGAATCCTGACGTATCTTTAGTGGATGCTGTTCGTTCTTCCTTACCCAGTTCCGAAAAAGCTGCTGATTTTGAAAATGAAAACAATTTCATTGAGATCCTCCTCACCAGATTGTTGGTTAGACCTGATGCTGCTTTACTTTACTCAGAGGTTGTTCACCTTTTTGGGAGGTCATTAGAAGATTCAGTGCTGATGCAGGCTAAATGGTTCCTACAAGGCCAGGATGTTCTGTTTGGTCGGAAAACTGTTCGACAACGTCTTATTAATATTGCTGAAAGTAAAGGTCTTTCAACTAAACCTCAATTCCAGAGGCCCTGGGGTTGGTCTTATTCTAATTCCAATCCTGCTACAAACCGGGGGAAGAAGAAATATGAAGCTACCTCTCTGGAGGAACGAGAAGTTGTTCAAGAGAGAATGGAATCAAAGAGGCATGTGAAGGGGTCACACCAAATGGATGCTGAAGGCTACAATGTCACCCAGCAGCAGGTGACTGAGAAGGCTTTCGTTGAATTGGTTCTTCCTTGCATTGATCAGAGCTCTGATGATTCACGCAGTACCTTTGCAAGTGAATTAATCAAGCAGCTGAATGCCATAGAGCAACAAATTAGTTCTGTTATGCGAGGCTTAAATAAGCAGACAGGAACAACTTCATCTGGAATTGAAGGTTCTGGTGGTAAGGGTAACAATCGGAAAGGTATTAGAGGTGGCAGTCCTGGATTGGCTAGACGACAGGTGGGAGCTGCAGATTCTGCTCCACCTTCCCCTGCAGCCTTGCGAGCTTCTATGTCACTGCGGTTGCATTTTCTTGTCAGACTTCTGCCAATTATATGTGCAGATGGGTAAATATAAATTTTCACCATCTAGATTTATTGCCTTATATGAGAAAGTTATTTCCTGCATTACAAAATTTATGAAAACATCCTTTTATTTTCTGGGAACAGAAAAGGGAACTTAAATATTCTGTTACCTGTTTAAAAGCAGAGTAGCTTTTAGTCTTTTATTTTAAACCTTTGTTTCTGCATTATCTCATGCTGACTTATGTTAATGCTTTTTGGAATTTTCAAAAACCTACATTTAACAATGTCATAAAATCTGTTGCATCTTATCCAAGTCATTTTTGTTAATTTTTATTGGTTTGACCAACATAGGGAGCCATCAGTGCGGAGCATGAGGCACATGCTTGCCTCTGTGATACTTCGTTTGCTGGGAAGTCGGGTTGTGTACGAGGATGTTGACCTATATTTTAATCCGACTCCATTGAAAGAGGGGGAGCTGATAATGGAATCTTCTGCTGCATCTGCTGGGGAAAGTCTTTTTGACCGCTTTTTGTTGGTTTTGCATGGGTTGTTAAGTAGTTGCCAACCAATTTGGCTGAGGTTGACGCCTGCTACAAAATCAACCAGTGACTTCTCAAAAGGTTTTTCTGGATTTGATCCTGACATGGCAGAAAATTTGCAGGTTTGATCTTTATCAGTGCAGTACTTCTTTCAGATTTATATAAGCTATCACCATAGTTTGAATGCCATGAAATTTCTTGTTAACTTGCTTGTATTCAACTTGTCTAATTTATTTTGCTGTTGATGCAGAGCGACTTGGATCGGATGCAGTTACCTGAAATGATTAGATGGCGTATTCAAGCTGCAATGCCAAAACTGTTTCCTTCTGTCCACTACTGTATCTCATGCCAGCCATCATCTGTCCCGGTTGCTGCTATTAGTTTACTTCAACCTAGTATCTCTGCTGGATTCTGCTCTGGACCTTTAATCTCACCTCAAAGACCTGTTCCTTTGGCAAGAACAACAAATAGTGTAGCAGGAAAGTCCAAGCCAACACCTTTGTCACAAGATTGTGATACTGAAATTGACCCATGGACACTATTGGAAGATGGAGCAGGATCAGGTCCATCTTCAAGTAACTCTGCTGTTTTAGCTAGCAGTGACCATGCCAATTTTCGAGCCTGCAGTTGGCTCAAGGGGACTGTGAGGGTCAGAAGGACAGACCTCACTTACATTGGTGCTATAGACGACGACAGCTGATCTAAGGTTAACCTTATTTTTGAGTTGGGACAAGGTTAGCAAATCCCTTGACCGTGATTCCTCGTTCATTTTATTGTGCATAATTGGCACTATGGCACGGTCCCATCTTGGCTTTTATTGTGGGGGTAGAGCTCTTTGAAGAGCCTTATTTTCACTTGATCAAATGGGGAAGAAGAAGGGGATGGGGTGGCCAGAGACCCTAGTCAAAGGAAAATGGCAAAATGAGCTCGTGTAGCCTATGCCCACCTTCAAACTGCTGACCTTTCCAATGCTCCGACGTTCTGGACCCTGCACTCCTAGAGCGGTTCAGAGGCTTGTTGTATATATAGTTGATAAATTGTTGCGATTTACCAATTGATCCGAGTAAAATATCTCGAGAATGAAAGATATGCAGCCTTTTTCATTGCTGATCTCTCTGCACGCACAAGGATGCTGTCATGTGAAGGCACATTGAAACTGAACAATTTGAGTTTATTTGGTAAAATTATTTCATGTATCCATTTCTTTCTTCACTAGATTTTGTACGATTAAAAACTGAAGGGTATGAAATGCATGATGCTTCTAAAATTAAAAGAAAAAAAAATAGTGAATGGGTTATTATTATTATTTTTTGAATACATAATGAATTATATAAGAGAATTTTTTTTAAAAAAAGGGTTTTTCATTTTATTTAAAAATTGGATAAAAATTTTTTAATTTGAAGTTTTATACCCTTAAAGTCATTTTTTTCTATCATAAATATATATAAAAATATAAGAAATTAAGATGAATTTTTATATTAATGTTAAATATATAAATTTAATTCAATAATTAATAAATTAAAAATTACTTTTTATCCGTAATTTAAATTTATGACAATAAAATATAAGTTACACTTAAAGAGTGCTCTTGAGAAAAAAAAAAAAAAACCAAACAAGTGAATAGTTGATGAAAGATGAGGTCAACCATTGAGTCAATCACATCCCTGAAAGGGCTGTAAATGGAGTGTCCGTTTCTCTCCTGTAAAGAGGAGCTCGATATTTAACCAAAAAAAAAAGAGGAGCACGATATAGGGGGGGCATCACCTCGGCACCTCACTATTTTTCTACGAAACCCAGTTGTTTGTCACCATAAATGGACCCCCCAGGGCCTTGCCACTTTGCTTCACATGAATGGTCAGTTTTTGCATTTTGAGGAAACATGAATGGTCTTTTGACTCTTTTCCATCCTCATGAGGCCATCACAGGCACTGTGGTCTTGAAAGGGTCATGCTGTTTATATTTGGTGACTGCAAATTCTGTTCATCTCCTTTAAACCCTAAATATTCTGCCATCATTCTGTTTCTTTTCCTCCTTCAGCTTCTCTGAGTAAGTAGGTCCACCATCTCTCTTTCCTATTCTCTGCTTGATTTTTCACTTTTCATGTGAATCATCAAATACCCATGTTTTGTATCTTAAATCCATCCTGAATTATATATAAGAATCGTACTCTCTTATGTGTATTTGCAAAGAGGTGTTTTGTAATTATTCAGGGTCAGAGGTAATCAAGATCTTGTTATGGAAATTGACAAGTTTTGATCTTTCTTTGTTTTTTCGAAGGTTTGTTTTTCCCCTTTTGATGGAAAACAGAAAGCTAAGAGATTTTATTTCAAATTTCCTGTTCTACGTAATTGATCATGAGCATGATGCAGGCCTTCTTCTGGTGAAAAAGCTTTGTGGATTTTGTGGCTGCAATGGAGAATGGAAAGGGAGAGGGCGGAGGTGATGGTGGAATTACAGAGAAGGCATTGTCTGCTGGTGAAGCTGAAGCTTTGAACAAGTGTTTGGAAGAAAACAAAGGAGACCACTCCAAATGCAAGGCAAAGTTTGGAGCTTTCAAGTCATCTTCTTCTTACCAAAAAGAACCCTCTAAGCCGCCGCCTTTAAGGCTCCCAAGTGGCTCTTTCTATGATGTTTGAATGTACTGATTCATATTAGTTTTAATAATAGAGCAAAATCTGTAAATTTATCATTAGATTGCTGTTTCAAGGTGGTGTACAATTAAACTTTCTGGCAATTTTATGAAAGCGCAAATGATACACATTCTGTTCATTGTCTTGAACTGATTGCTAACTTGAGAAGATGATTGGGATCGGAAATCATCCCTCTCTGATGCCTAATTTCCTTGCCGTTTCTTTCACTCTTGATTTCTCAGCATTTGGTCCTCGTAAAGAACATCCTCTATCCAAGCAACAATGTTGAAAGCTAGCCCTTCTAATACTCTTGAGTAGCTCTCTAGGATTGCTTGCCCCACATCCTGCAAGAAGATAGTTTCTCAATTATGATTTCTCAAACTTCATTGTGTTTTGTGAATGTTCTTTCAGTTCTGCAGCAGGGAGAAACATAAAGGGGAGCTACTGACTTACCTTGTTGTATTGGATCTTGCATATATCTAAGGAAGTCTGCGCGAGTCCTGGATATCTTTGCTTCAGGTAAAATAACAAGCTCTCTGCTCTTTCAGCCAGGATATAATTCTTGTTGCCTTCCTCCATGTCAGACATTAGATCCTTAACCACTTTCCAGGACAATTTTGAATAATTCATACATGCTTTTCTTCTCCATGTATACATTGAAGCTTCCACTCGATCAGCAAGCCCAAGTGCTTCGTGTTCGGATGATATATTCAGTCTGTCTAGGAGATACTCAGGGCAGAATTTGTCTGCAGTATACATGTCGCAGTAAATGGTATCCCCAAGACTGGCTTTTCCACTCTGGAAATTAATTCAGAATCAGGAAAAATTTTCCTTAAATTTACAAAACAACTGCATATTGAGTGAGTTTGCAGAAGAGGGCTGACCTTTGGGAGAGATGCTATGAAAGTGTCCGGAATTGCCATCTCAGAAAGAATGCTGCTGTTGATAGCCATGGCTGCTTTATGAATCTGTTTAGCACAGTCACGTTTGTGCTGCAGATGCTTCCTTGATTTCTCTGAGAGTCCTGCTGGAGGAACACACGGCACTGGAACCCACCATTTCTCCTCTTTCTGCTGAACAACCCTACGAAATGAACCTGAACGAGTCGAATTTGATGATGTGCTCCCATGTTCTGCATACCAGAATTCCCTATCCTTGAAACCATCCAGTATTTCCTGTCAAAGAGACAAGTATGAGGATGGGATCCAAAGGCATTGGAATTGGAATGAAGCAAACAAAAACACAATTTTAAGCACACTGAAGACTTGTCTTACTATGAGCATTGCATCCAGCTTTCTCAAAGCAGGAAGGTTGATATAAATATCTGATCTTGGCCTGCTTTTTATTATCTGAAATGCCACAGAATCATGTTGAAGTTTGTGGGAAAACTTGACCAGAAAAATTTAGTCATAAACCATGAATTCTCACCTCAACAGACGTTCCATTGTGCAATTTTTGTGATTTGGGGATAAATTCTACCATGTAATCACAGACAGACAGAAGACAGTTCATTTCTCTTTTCCACATTGCCTTCTTTTCAAGATTCATAGGCTCTAACCTCAAATTTTGCCCAAAAACAGTTGCTGCAGAAACTAACATAAGTAAGCATTTTGATTGAATTGGAAAGGAAGAATAGATATGGCATAATTTGTTATCGAGGATTTTATGTACCATAGAGATTGGTTATGGCATTTGAGATTGTGACTGCTGTGCATACACCTTTGCCACCTCCTGACATGTCTTCCCCCAGTAAAAGCTTTGAAAATCTTTCCTTCATCATTTCCAGCTCTGAAAATCACACAAATTACCCTGAATTCTATTTGCTTTGAAATTTTAAGTAGGACATCAATAAGGGGAATTGAAGTATTCAGAAAACCCACCTGAATCCAGTGATTCTAGATCATCAAGTCTATCTTCTACAATCTTCTTGTGCTGCTTCGTCCCTTGTCTACTAAGAACAGCCTGATTCTGGTAATCGGGTCTCATGGCCAGAGACTGAGAAGGAGAAGCCTCACTGCAGTAACTGCTGCTATCATCCACCGGGTATGATAAGGTTGAAGTCTCTGAATAAGTCCGGCAATGTGCAAAAAAATCACTGCTAAGAGTTGAACACCCCGGAGTCTCTGTGCTTGACTGATCTTTCTGGTCGACGGAAGAAGTCGAAGGCTGATAACCCAGATCGGAAATTCCATCCGAATTCGATAAATTATCCATTGCACACTGTTTTCTCAATCAATCTGCAGGAAAGTTCCAAAATTTCTGTTGGAGCTTAAGAACACCAAAATTCAGACCCGGGTAATTGCTCAAACTGCAGGAATAATACTAATTCACGCCATAGAAAAGAAAGGAAAGAAAAAGAAAAAGATAAACTGAGGATTTTGGCAGCAGAAAAGCAAAAAGGGAAACTGAGAGGTCGTTATTATGACAGATTCTTAAATAATTCACTGAATTTTTTGCAGTAAAGTCCAATCATTGATGCATAATTTAGAGGTGAAGCAACTGAAATTTGAATGTATAAAGCAACGGTCTAAATTTTCATTCTTTATGGAAGTTTTTTTTTTTTT